TACGCGAGGTTTTTTACTGAGAGGGTCGTTTTATTGTAAGTCCATTAAGGAATCCAAACAATATACTCATATTTATATAAGCCGATATTTTTCTTACTCCCGCGGGTGTATACAATCGATTTGTTTCCCCTACCAAAACACATGCTACGGATACTTTTTCAGATGTCAAATTTTGGGGATGTAATCCCTACAACCCATAGATTAATTGCAGTAAATAAGAAAAAATCTAAAATAAACTCTCTATGTACTAGGAAAAACTAATACTACACAATTGAATACAGACATCCAATTTTTGAAGGGCTAGATCTAAGTGACAAAATTCAAAATTCAATATTTTTATTTTGAAAATAATCTTATTTTTTTGCTAAATAGTTTTTAGAGTGACAGACACATAATATGCTTCCGAGGGAGCACAATATGCACTCACAATCTTTTTATAAAGGATGAAGTTTCTATAACGCCTAGCCTTAATGAAAACGAAATAACGCCTCACCTAAAATCCTCATATAGAAAGTAATTTTGGCAATGGAAGCTACCTCAGCTATAACCTCAGCTTTATTGAATGGCCTAAACAAGATACGACTTATTTGAAATTAATTGAATGAACAATTTCGAAAAATTCAAATTTTTTTAAGATTCCAGGATTTCTATGGTTCCTTACAATGTCAATTGCCAATTCTTGGTCATTGAGATTCATGGGTGATTTGAAGCAATATTTAGGGATAGATATTACCTCTCTCTTTCTCCCCTTTCAAACAAATTGAAATGATTGAAGTTTTCTATTTGGAATCGTATTAGGTCTAATTCCTATTACTTTGGCCGGATTATTTCTAACTGCATATTTATAATACAGACGTGAGGATCAGTTGGATCTTTATAATACAGACGTGAGGATCAGTTGGATCTTTGATTGAGTAAGATTCACTGTTTTTTACCTACTCTTCATGATGGCTCTAAAATCAATTTCCAACACTGACACTAAAATTTGAAACTCAAAAAATGATATAGATCTTGTGGATTTATAAATGATCTAGATAATTTGTTACATACATTATTTTAGAGCTTGAAATCGTTTTTTTTTTTTTTTCACATTATAATATTCAAGCCAAGATGATCGATGTAAAGGTTTTCTAATACTTAAATTACAATTTTTTATGAGTTATGAGGTGAGGCTTTACTTATTTTGAGTTGTTATCTTTATCAAACTATTTTCATTATGTGAAAAAAACAAAAAAATGATTTACATAGTGCGCTATTCATGTCATCTTCCCTCTCCAAGCACGTGCGCATATATACTATGCTCCCTCGAGCATATTTATTTCCACTCCCAGAAAACTTACTCTGGAAAATTTTGAGAACCACCTATAGGGTTCCCTAGATGCTTATTATGGAGAGAAAAAATTTGAAATTTGAGTTTTTTATACTTATGTCCCACCATCTAAAAATTGGATAGTTTGTATTCAATCACAAGACATTATTTGTTTTAGGAAATTTTTTTTTTTAGATTACTTTATAGGTTGAAGGGGTTACATCCCCAAATTTGAGATCCTAAAATCAACTCTAGGTGGGGTTTTCCCTGAGGGAGTAAATGGACAATATACTCCCACGGTAGTATAACATCTTTTTGTACAGCGTACATTAAGAAAAAACCCTGGGCCACTGATATCAAAATGACAGGACTTACGCTTGACGTTCATCTTGGGCTCCGGTTTCCTCAGCCAAAGACAATATCAACGTCGCCTAGAAACAAAAAATTTATGGTTAAGAGGGATGAGCTATTTAACATTTTATTTTATTTATTTTGATTTGATTACAACAAGCTCATAAAAAGTTACAAGGTTGCAATTGAAAAAATGTCAAATTAATTGATCTTTTAATGAATTTATTTAATTTTTCTTACAAATATTATTATAGTTTTAATCATGATTATCAAGACCAAGCCAGATCATATGCTCTGACCGGTCAGACTGTCGTTCTTAAGCAACCGATCAAAATCATGATTTGCAGCTATTTTTAAACGATTGGACCATCTGTTATTTGACATGTTCATCTTGCTAACTAAAGTTGATAAATACTTTGCACTTTTTTTACAGGTATGAATCTCTCACTCTCTTGATAATATTTTATAGGGATTATTTACAAAGAGATCATTTATCTTTCATATAAGGAAGTTATAATTATTTTTGTCCTTTAGAATTCAAAATGAGTGTTTGTAAGAGTGTCATTGATTAGACAAAAAGCTAAAAAAAAAATTTCAGACTTCCAATTTGACATCCAATCAATAAAAATAGTTGTAACTTCCAATTCTCAGACTTCATTACTCATCCCAAGCCATCCAATTTGACATCTAATGAGTGAGAATAATTGAAACTTTTTTGTCCCAAAGACAAATGGTCACTTTGTTGACAATTGATTCAATTAACAATAATTGAATCGATTTTGATTAGATCAAACCTCTCAAGAATAGAATGGCATTTAGACCCCGGTTACTATAATTTTAACATTGACACAATTTTAAAAGTGTCCTTCAATTTATACAACACCCAACATGAAGAGATAAGTTTGTTTATTCTATTCTCATTTGCCCAAAAGGGCAAAATAGCATCCTTACTTTTGATACAATAAGTTAACAGGTAATAACCCCAAGTAGTTAAGCAGCGTCGCTTGGTGGGGTAGTTGACATAAATAAGCCAGCAAGCCAAATAGTTAAGCACCACGTAGTCATTTGGGGATTTAGAAAGAGAGAGAGAGAGAGAGCTATTTGTTTGTTGGTGCATGATCGTGATAATGTTCTAAATGGTGCCAATTGCACAATAGAGAGAGGGAGCATTTTTTCTGATTTCTTGCTGCCAGGGGAGAGAGAGAAATTGAAGGGAGACTGTCAATTTTGTTGCATGAATAAAGATAATTACCAACCGAGAGAGATTAAGGATGTTGAGAAAGGATATAATTTAAAATGCTTTCATTTTAAAAATTTTATTAAATATGACACCAATAGGCGATAAGATGAGATAGGTATGATTTCAATATGCGATAAGATGAGATAGAGCACACTTAAGTGACTCAGTACAACAACAATTATGAAGTACGAGTTAGTTCTAATAGAAGACTAAAAAAAGAAAAAGGGTAAACTCAAAAGGATATGGTTGAATATAATAAGAAATGATATGGAGATTTATGGCCTCACTAAAAATATCTTTTAATAGAAATAATGGACCACGATTCATGTAGCCTACTCCAATTAATTAAAAAAAATTATGATGATTAGAGGATTCATGTAGCCGACTCCAATTAATTAAAAAACATTTTATGAAGATAAGATAAATTAAGGAGAAAAAAAAAGGCACTACTAACTTGTTAATGCCTACTTAGAAAAGTCTTTATTTTTGATGTCTAGAGCGAGATAGTATTCTTCATTTGTTTCTGCATAGTAGAGAGAGAGAGCACTCTTTTTTTTGTGCTCCCTAGTGTGAGAGAGAAAGAGCACCAAATTTATTGCCGCCTAGACAGAGATTAAAAAGGGTAGAGAGCATTCCTCAATTGTTGTCTCCCTGATGCAGAGAGAGAGCTCATCGATTCTGCCGCCATTAAAGAGGGAGAGAGCTCCTCAATCGTTGCCGCCATTAAAGAGAGAGAGGGGAGAGCGCCTATATAATTTTGCCAAGGAAATAAGTATAGGTTCTCAATCTCTTTCTCTATAAGTAATACGACAACCAAATTAACTAGCATTAACTGATCAAAAAAATTTATATAAGTGCGAGGCGGGTCGAATCAATTAAATTAAGACACACCTCAAAAATTTCATTAGAAGATGTTGTTTTCATATCCAAATATCTTCAAATTAATCATCTCGATCTCAAGATGCGTGAATATGAAAAAAAATAGATTTCAAGTTTTAGAAATAATGTATCTTATAATGTATTTTTGGACCATCAATTTTCAAGTTTTCTTATATATGCTCGATCTACACAATTTTTTAACCTTTAAATTCTATAATTAGAGATAAAAATATATTTTAAGGCTAGTACAAATATTTCGAGTAATGTAACCACATTTTTTCGATAGTATTTGAAAGTGCGCTTTATTTTGATTGTTTAGAGCCTCGGCTTTATACAAACCCCACCTCTTCTTCTAAATACATTGGGTGTCACTATTAAAATTGAACCGTGGCCATATAACATATTTTACAAAATAAAAAAATCGAGTGGAAAATTTGCTGACTAAGTCCTAGAGTTGCAAACAGTTCAAGTCGTCGCCCATTTTCCAAATGATTAATATATTCATAGCAATTTTCCTTGGATTTTATTTAAATTTAAGAACAAAAGATCTCCTAGTCGGCAGAAGTACATTATCCATCTAATGTTTGCGGCCAAATTTTCCCTAAGATTATCTTTTAGATCCCAAATTTCGAATATAATTTCTAGCACCTGAACCAACCTCAAACAGAAAAAAATAACTCTTATTCTCTTTGTGCTTAAAAATAATAGCATCCCAAGATTACACCAGAACCTTATATTTTTTTTGAGGGAAAGATCAAGAACTCAAAATCCGAGTTCTTTTCCTTAGAAACGATCATCTAATTAATTACACATGGATTCCAAAATTTCAAAAGCATCCCAATATTACACTAGAACCTTATATTTTTTGGAGGGAAAGATCAACCCAAAATCCGAATTCTTTTCCTGAGAAACGATCATCTAATTAATTACACATGGATTCCAAAATTTCAAATTAAAAAATTCCCAATTTTGCCTGAGAGGATAAATGTATACTATGTCCCTGAGGGAGCGTAGTATTATTTCCACATAAAATTGAATCAACAAGTCATCAATTAATAAATTAATTAATTTGCTTTTTAGTTAAACTTTTCAAAAATTAATTAATTTCATATGTATCACGAGAAAAAATAATTAATTCCGTATACATCACGAGAAAATTTATATAATTTGATATATAAGCGACGCTACGCCCATTACGCGGCTGTCTGAAAAATCCGAGTCTTTTCACTAAAAACCCCTTCATATCCATGACCATGACCATGACCACGGCCATGGCTTTGAAAGAGGAGTCTTTACCCATAAGAGCTCGAAGGAAGAAAATCCCAAGAAGGAGTTATTGCTTTCCGGTGTGTTTTGGATATCCAGGTGATGTTTCAGAGCCCGATAATGAGTTTTACGGCGAGAAAGGGTGCGTGACAGATGGGTCGAAACCAAAGAAGAAGAAGATTTCCGTTGGCAAGAAAAATTATGACCGAAAATGCTTCAGTTTTGGGGGAAAGAAAGTAGCCGGTAAGAACAAGGACCCGCTCGAAAATGGCAGCCAAAACACGGATACAAGCGGTGGCTTTTTCTGCTTCAAGTTTCGAAAGTCGAAATCAGGCCGGAGAACGGTGCCGGAAGATGATGCAGTTGCTGAAAAGACCACCGGAAAATTGGGTTCCCATCAGAATACGGTTGCGATCCCGGTCATCTTCTCGCCCGAAATTGTGTCGTTGGAAAAGAGCCTTACAAAAGAGGTCAGCAGAGGCCCTTAACCAAATCACCAAGTCCCTTTCTCTGTCTAAAAATTACTCTGTTTTCTCCCTCAAAAAGAGAAAAAATACTCTGATTACTTTGTTCAAAATATTATTCTTAAAACCCATTTTCTGGATTTTTTTTTCTTTGAAATTTCGATGGTTTCCCCATTAAAACAGGTCATTTAACCTTTCGTTTTTTTTCTTTATTTTTGGTATTTAGTTGGAGGTGAATTTCGAAACGTTTCAATAAACGGCTTTTCGTAGCTTTTTCTCTCTCTTTTCAGAGCGAATATTCCGAAATTTTGGATCCATTCATCAATCAGTTTTTCAATTTTTCGTTCTTTTCGTTTCTTTGCAGATTATCGACCAGTTCACCGAGCCATCCCCTCAAACTCCTAGAAAACCTCTTTCAGGCTGTCAAACATCGCCGGAAAACTCGTTTCGTGGCAGAAAAGAAGCCGGAAAAGTCACTGGGAAACCAACTACCGGCCGGAAACCAAAGAGATCACAAACTACACCAAACTCTCCAGGAAATGACACAACTCGCCGCATGGCCTCGTGCTCCTCTTTCCCGCGCTTAGGTGTCCAGCAAACCGCCAATTCATTGCCGGACACTTCGATTTCCGGGAAAGATCAAGCCGGAGAATTAGATCCACTACTGGGTATGTTCCTCCTAGTGGTGAGCTTTGTAATCATGGTCCTTTGGGGTCGTCTCTGTGCTATAATTTGTACATCGGCTTGGCTTTGCCTGATACCCCGCCTGAAAACGGCTAAAAATTCCGGCGAATCCACCGGGAAGTCAGATTTTCGGAATGAGAAGCCTGACACCAATAGTAAAGAGTACAAGAAGAAGGTCATAATGGATGGGTTGCTTGAAAGAAACCATCGAAATTAAATCCATATTCTGTACTCTTGTCATAGCGTTCTTTATTATACGTGCTCCTTCTTCTTTTTTTCTTGTATTCCTTCTTTCTTTCTTTTTTTTATTTGTTTTATTCACCGCAAAAGTCATATTTTATTTTTAAAATTTAAAGAGCCCTAAAGACTCCCATGTTCCATAATTTACACTCACGTCCCAATTTTAGAGCCCATAGTCTATTTTAATTTTACATTTCCTCAATTTGGGCCTCTAGTCTATTTTAACTTCGTCTTTTTCCCTATACATCGTTAGTTCAAGCTCAAATTTTTGATAAAAAAAGTTTATATAAGGTTGTAACTTTAAAATGTGGAATTAAGGTGCACTTCAAAAATTTGTCATAAGAGGTTGTTTTGATGTGCGAAAATCCTCTAATTGATCATCTCGATATCGAGATATAAAAGTATAAAAAGAAAAACAGATTTTGAGTCTTAAAAATATTGTATCCTCTACATATTATAGAGGAGAGATTGGAGAAACATGGGAGGTGAGAGAATGTGAGAGAGACATAGGAAGAGAAAGAAAGAGAGAAGTTTGAGATATATAAGTGAAGCGAGAAAGGATTGAGTTTACAAATAGTATGTTTTTCTCACATTTGTTTAAGTTAAAAAATAGGTTTAAAGTGGCAAGGCGGTTAGAAGATATTTTTGAAACTTTAGGTTTATCAATAAATAAAACTTAAAAATAAGGGGATATAGAGATATTTTTTCTAAAAAAATAAAGGCTCCTCAATCTTATATTTGAGCTCGCACATCAGATTTCCTCAGATCTGAGCTCGCACCTCGGATCTGAGCTCGCACCTCAGATCTGAGCTCGCACCTAGGCTATTCAAAAAATAAAAATAAAACACGAGCATAAGAAAAATATAAAATATTGCTAATCTCGCACCAAGGCCATTCGAAAAATAAAAAATAAAGCACAAGCATAAGAAAAATATAAAATATTGCTAATTACAAAGAATGCTACTGATACTCTTAGCACTAATCTTTGTCTCTTACGTGACAGACATTTTTTCCAAGAGAAGCCATATTTGGGATCCAAGAATATTTAAGTCATAAAATTGAGAAGGAAAGTATACGACACGGTTTCTACAAGTCAACGGACCCATCTGTAGAAATGCGGGCCCTTAATAATTTATTTTTTAAATAGAATTAATCTTAAATTTTAAAGAATATATAATCTTAAACATGTAGATTATTAATATGTAAAAATAAATAAAATTTGAAAAACTAGAAATGATATTTTTGAAAAAAATATTTGAACCGATTTGAAGGACTATTATTTATGGTGTACATGTGGATGGTGTAGATCTCCAAGCCGGTATAGTAATAGGTGCGGTCTTGGATTCACCTAACAATTCTCCAAAAGTATATAATAACTTTTATTTAGAGCATAGATGTTATAAGTAACGATTGGATGTGAAATTGGCAGCTACATTTGTTACATTGACTTGGTTCAAAGGGAAAAATAAGTTTTTTTTGTACATGCCCCATTATCGAATAACCTTCAACGTCCATAAAAATCTCCTAGATCACTCCAAGTTCAAAAAAAAATGATGTTTAACCCGCTTTTGTACTTTTTCATTATATAAACTATATTATATATATTTTTATTTTTTAATAAACTTGTCATGGGTACCCTAAAAAATCTATCATTCTTTTTCTCTCTTCCTCACTTGTGAACTTTGTCCTCTTTCAATCTTTTTAGGATCCCATGTATATCTCTCATCTTGTGAATCTCGTAAGTAGGTTAAAAGACGCGTCTTAAATTCCATTTATATGATGATATTATTAGAAAAAAGAAAAATAGCCAATATTTAATTTGCACAATGATCTTCATGGTACCTCCACGTACATAACCCATGTCGTTAATGTCAACCCAGCAATGTAAACACATTTATTCCTAGCTAATAAACTGTAGAGTTAGAGGCGCACTTTAACTACTCATTCGAAAAGTTACTTTTCAAAAAACTAATCATCGGAAAAGTTATTTGATGCTCCAAGACCCTCGAATTGATCATATGACTTTGAGTTGTACGAATATTGGAATAAATAAATAAATAAATAAATTTCAAGTCTTAATAATAGTATATATTGTAATTGTCTATTTTAAAATTTTCAAGTACTTTTCACGACATGCGTCTCTTTGGAGCTTTAAATTTCATAATTAAAAAACAAAATAGATTTCGAGTTATTCAATGAGTTTCTAACATTTAAATTACATCTTCTAACAAGGTATGATAGTGCGCTTTATTTTGATTCTTTAAAGTTAGTGTGTTATACAAACCTCATCTATATATATATATATATATCATATTACTCGTAATTAAAAGTTATAATTAATTAGGAATAATAAGGTCACAACGTATGCATTATTTTAATTAGAAATTCAGAGTAATTAGGAATAACTAAGAGCAATTAAAGACGCGAATGAAACAAAATTGGAGTAATAAACAAGTATAAGATGGAAAGTAATTGTAGACGCTTCAAGTTTTGAAGAAAATGCACTGCGAATGCTACAATGAACTGCTACAAAAACTCTTAATATATTGCAGGAATTTAAAAATTAACTGACACTAATATTTATGTGGGAAACCCTTCAAGAGTGACAAACCAACAAGCACCACAGAGGAAATCTACTAAGACAAGAATTACACACGCACACATAAACGTCAAGCACTATAATTTGAAAAAATTGTTTGTAAATTTTATGATTATGACATATTTGGATGTACTTGTTATCATTGTTATTTCATTGTTTCAACAAAATTAATCCTGATAATTGATTATATGTTGTTTGGTAGTATCCATCATAAAGTTATTTGACATAAATATATAAACAATTTTACATATCAATTTATCTATTAAAAAACTGTTTATTTTATTCAAAGTAATTTGTTGAAAATCATACTTTTTAGGCAAAAATAGCTGAAATCTGACAAAAATTAAATAATTAAATAATATTAGTCATAATATGAGTTACTTACCAAACAACTATCAATATAATATTACCATAGTACATTGATTTTAAAAAATATCATTCAGTCTCAATGAAATGGGGACCAATGAAATGGACCCAAAAATAAACTAAAAATAAAACAATGTGCAAAATACGGGGCTCAAAGGCACTACTTGCATGGCCACAAAAGACCAGGATTTATGTCAGTTATAATGAATATCTTGATGTAATGTTTATTAATTTCTAGTTCATTAATTGCCCAAGGATTCATGATGTTAAGGCCTGATAATCTTCTTGTATTTATGTCAACAAAACGTCTTTAGTGATTGGAAACGTCTTTAGAAAGGAAAAAGTTTATAAAAGAGTGTGGCTCTAAACAATTCCATTAGGGCACACCTCAAAATTTTACTAGAAGAGGCTAGTTTGATGCTCAATTATCCTCAAATTGATGATCTCGACCTCAAGATCTATGGCCATCAGAAAAAAAATGGATTTTAAAGTTTGGAAATAGTGCATCTTGTAATGCATTTTTGGACCGTCAATTTTTAAAAATTTCAAGTTTTTATAGATCTGCTCGATCTAAACTATTTTTGAAACTTTAAATTTTATAATTAAAGATACAAACATATTTTAAGGCTATCAGAAAGATTTCTAGTATTGAAACCACATTTCTCGAACCTATTTGAAGGTGCACTTTACTTGGATTGTTTAGAGCCTCGGCTCTAGACAAACCGTACCCTTTAGAGACCACATTGTATCAAAGGTAAATTATCTCATTACATACTTTTCTTAAAAAAAATGGGTCGCCTGGATGCTGAAAGAGAATGATATTTAACCCCTTTATGCCTTTTTCATGGTCCAATTATAGTATTTATCTTATGTTTTTTTTTAATGACCCTATCATCGGAACCCAATAAGAGCTACCCCTCTCTCTTATCACACTTGGTCCACTTCCTCTTTTTCTCTCTCAACCTCCTTTGAACCCCCATCTCTCTCTCTCTCTCTTCAACCTCAAAGGAGGTCAAAGGTGGTATCCAAAATTCCATTGGTTGAAGGAGTTATTAGGTAAAAAAAGGATAATGTAAAAGGAGTTATTAGGAAAAAAAAGGATAATGTAATTTGGAACATCTTTTTCTTTAAACTTGGATGGAATCCATAAGTTTGGGGATGTACGCATTTTTCCTAATTTCTTTCAAGTTGGCAATTGTCATAATTGTGTATATATATATATATATAAAAAGATTATGTCAGCTAGTTCTTTCACCTTACTAGCAGATGGAATAGTATAAGCTCAATAGTTTAGAATGAATTTAAGCCGAATTGATAGTCACAAGTGTAATCTGTATTTAAATTTTAATTTTTTTATAAATCTAAATTACTTAAAATTTGGAGCGTCCACACTTCACATCAAGAGTAAATGCTCAAAATGTAAAATGAATTGGATTTGTAAAAAATATTTAAAATTTAAATACAAATTGCAGTTGTGATCGTTAGATCGGCTCAGATTAAATATAGGCCGTCGAGCGTTTACTGTAGCTATCAGCTAGCAGGCTGACTTCAAACTCTCTCTCAAATATATATATATATATATATAGGGTGTGGTTTGTATAGAGCCGAGGCTCTAAACAATCAAATTAGAGCCCACCTTCAAAGAGTATCGAGAAATATGGTTTCCATATTGTAAATTTTTGTGATAGCCTCAAAATATATTTTTGTATTTAATTATAAAATTTAACTTTTAAAAAATGGTGTAGATCGAGCAGATCTATGAAGACTTGAAAATCTTGAAAATTGACAGTCCAAAAATGTATTACAATATGCACTATTTCTAAAACTTGAAATCTATTTTTTTCTCATGTCCATGCATCTTGATGTCTACATGATCAATTTGATGATATTTGGGAATCAAAACAACGTCTTCTAGTGAAATTTTTTAGGTAAGCTTTAATTTGATTGTTTAGAGCCTAGGCTCCATATAAACTTCTCCCACATGTGTGTGTGTGTGTGTGTGAGATGAGGGACAATCGTGATCGTGTGATGAACT